TCAGAATGGCCGAGGCCCGAAACGTCAGCCTTTCTGCTCCTATGATGCTGCTTGGCCTGCTGTGTTCATCCAGCCCTGCTCCTTGTTGTCTCAGATTCTCCAGCATCTGCAGTTCCTACTATCTCTGATATAATATAATCTACATGCTCTGGTGTTTGGAAGATCAAGAGGAGAGCTAATTGAGTTATATAAGATGCTAAACGAGGTTATCAACATACACATAGAGAGGATGTTTGCACATGTGGGGCAATCTAGAATGGGGGGTCACAGTTTTAGGATAAGTGGTGGCAGATTTAAAACAGAGATGAGGAGAAATTACTTCTCTCAAAGGGTCGTGAATCTGTGGAATTCTCTCCTCTAGAGTGTATTGGGTGCTGAGATAGTGAATAAATTTAAGCAGGAGATAGGCAGATTTTTAATCAGTAATGGGTTAAAGAGTTGTGGGGAGCAGGCAGGAAAGTGGAGTTGAGGCCAAGATGAGATCAGCCATGATCTTATTGAATGGTGGAGCAGGTTCGAGGGGCTGAATGGCCTACTCCTGTTCCTAGTTCTCATGTTCTTATATATAAAAGCAAAATGCTGGGGATGCTGGAAATCTGAAACAAACACAGAAAATGCTGGAGACACTCAGCATGCCCGGCAGCATTTGTGGACTGAAATTTTGTGTATGGTATGACTCTTTTACAGAACAGATTATGATGTAGCTAGGTTTGTGGTAAAATGGTAGTGTCCCTACCTCTGATCCAGGTTCGAGTCTCACCTGCTCCAGTAGGTGTCTGGACAAGCTGATTAAGGAAAATACCAACAGTAAATTATCTGGCAAAAAGATTTCTACCTGTCATGTGAAGATGTAGCCCTTCCTTTTGCGCTCCCCCCCACCCGCCCCATTGTAACACACAGTTCTTATTGTCATGCAAATGAACCATATTTAAGTGTGCTTCTCAGATTGTCATTAATTAATGACCTTACACAAAGAAAACTTGCCATCATTATTCAAATTCTAGTATTGATCAACTCCAACGCCAATGTTGTGGTTGACTTTTAACAGCCCTCTGGAGTGACTAAATGAGCCACTCTGTAATCGATAAGATTCTTGATGTGGATATGTCTTTTGGAAAGCCAACATTTACTTCCCACTTCCAATTGCCATGGCTGAGTGACTTCCTGTGACAGACCAGATAAAGACAGCAGAGATCCTTTTGTGAAAAAATATTAGTGAACCATCTTTGATTTCATGACAATCTGCTTTTCATGGTCACTCTGCAACATAAAGGGACTTGGGGGTGTAGGAACAAATTACTGCAAATGCAGGAATCCTAAAAACAAAAAATGCTGGAGATCACAGCTTGTCAGGCAGCATCCATGGAGAGAGAGCAAGCTAACGTTTCAAGTCTAGACAACTTTTCATCAGAGCTCATGTGAAACACACAAGTTTGTTTCATATGGGCTCAGCTGAAGAGTTATCTAGACTCGAAATGTTAGCTTGCTGTCTCTCCATGGATGCTTCCTGTCCTGCTGTGATCTCCAGCATTTTTTTGTTTTTAGGACTTGGGGTCTACTTCTCATTGAAACACTGTTTCAGCGGGTAATCAGAAAGTAATGGCCCTTATTTCAAGAGCTTTAGAATATAAGAGTGGGGCAGTCTTACTGCAACGGTACAAGGTGCTGGTGACAGCACATCTGGAGTACTGTGAGCAATTTTCATATTACCCCTACAGTGTGGAAGCAGGCCATTCAGCCCATTCCGACCCTCCAAAGAGCATCCCAACCTCCTACCCTATCTCTGCAACCCTGCATTTCCCATGGCCAATCCACCTAACCTGCACATCTTTAGACCATGGGAGGAAACCGACACAGACACGGGGAGAATGTGCAGACTTCACACAGACAGTCGTCTGAGGGTGGAATTGAACCCAGGTCCCTGGTGCTGTGAGGCAGCAGTGCTAACCACTGAGTCACTGAGTCACCGTGCTGCCCCTTATTTTTAGTCCCCTTATTTACAAACGGTAACATCATCAGGATGTACCCTGGTATATAGGGATTATTTTCTGAGTAAGGGTTAAATAGGCTGGACTGTACTCGCTTGAGTTTAGAAGAATGAGAGGTGATCTCATTGAAACATATCGGATTGTTAAGATGCTTGACAGAATAAATGCAGAGAGGATGTTTCCCCTCGTGGGAGAGTCTAGGACCAGAGGGCACAGTCTCAGAATAAAGGGGCACCAATTTAAGAGTGAAATGAGGAGGGATTTCTTCTTCTCAGAGGGTTGAGAGTCTTTGGAATTCCTTGCCACAGAGAGCTGTGGGGACAGAGTCCTTGTATATATTTAAGGCTGGGATAGATAAATTCTTGATCAGTCAGGGAATCATGAGTTACGGGGAAAGGGCACAAAAGTGAACGTGAGGAATGTTGGATCAGCCATGACCGTATTGAATAGTGGAGCAGGCTCGAGGGGCCGAACGGCCTCCTTCTGTTCCTATTTCTTATGGTCGACGATAACCACTTCTATTCCAGATTCAGTTAACAAACTGAATTTGAATTCCTTAAGACCATAAGAAGTAGGGGGCAGAAGTGGACCATTCAGCTGATCGAGCCTCCTCTGCTGTTCACTGAGATCACGGTTGACCTAATAACCCTCAACTCCATTTTCCTGCCTTTTCCCCTGTAATCTTTGATTCCGTTACACTTTAAAAAAGCTATCTCAGCTTTGGATATACTGAACGACTGAACCTCAACAGTCCTCTGTGATAACGAATTCCACAGATTCACCACCACTTTCTGAGAGAAGAAATTCCTCCTTATCTCCGTCTTAAATGGGCAATGTACTCTGAAATGATGCCCTCTGGTTCTATACTCTCCTACAAAGGGAAACGGCCTTCCTGCATCTACCCTGTCAATTTCCCTAAGCAGCTTGTATATTTCCATAAGGTCACCTCTTGTTCTTCCAAACTCCAATGACCCAACCTACTCAACCTCCCCTCATAAGACAGTCCCTCCATCAGGTAATTGGGTAAGTGGGATCAAAGGTTAAGAGGAGAAAGCAGGATTAGGCCATTAAGTTGGTCGATCAGCCGTGATTGTGATGAATGATGGAGCAGACTGGAAGACCGAATGGCCTCCTCCTGCTCCTATCTTCTGTGTTTTTATGTCATAGCCAAGTGAACCTTCTGCAGACTGCCTCCAATGCCAGTACGTCTTTCCCTAGATAAGGGGCCCAGAACTGTTCACAGTATTCCAGCTGTGGTCTGACCAGTGCCTTGTATAGTTTTAGCAAAACTTCTCTATTGTTATGCTCCATTTCCTTTCAAATAAACACCAACATTCCATTTACTCGCTGTAAACCCTGCTGAACTGGGATGCCAGCTTTTTGGGATTCATGTACAAGGAATCCCAAATCCCTTTATTTGGTGGTATCCTACAGTTGTTTTCTATTTATATGACCCCATGCCTTTCAGTCATTATCAGTCATTAGTGTGAAACAGGCTGATAGGCTAGAGGAGGTGGATGTTAGTAAGGAAGATGTGCTAGGAATTTTGAGGAACTTGAAGAAAGGTAACTCCCCCGGGCCTGATGGGATTTATCCAAAGATTCTATGGGAAGTGAGGGAAGAGATCGCAGGGCCTTTGGCGGTGATCTTTTCGTCTTCACTGTCCATGGGTATAGTGCCGGAAGATTGGAGAGTGGCAAATGTCATTCCCTTGTTCAAAAAGGGGAATAGGGATAACCCTGGAAATTACAGGCCAGTTAGTCTTACTTTAGTGGTGGGCAAATTATTGGAAAGGGCTCTGAGAGATGGGATTTATGATCACTTGGATAGGCACAGTTTGATTCGTGATAGTCAGCATGGATTTGTGAGGGGTAGATCATGCCTCACAAAACTTATTGAATTCTTTGAATAGGTGACCAAACATGTGGATGAAGGTAGAGCAGTGGATGTGGTATACATGGATTTAAGTAAGGCGTTTGATAAGGTTCCCCATGGTAGGCTCATGCAGAAGGTAAGGAGGCATGGGATAGGGGGAAATGTGGCAGATTGGATTCAGAATTGGCTGACCCTTAGAAGACAAAGGGTGGTAGTGGACGGAAACTATTCAACATGGTGCTCAGTTATGAGTGGTGTACCACAAGGACCTGTTCTCGGTCCTCTTCTATTTGTGATTTTTGTAAATGATTTGGATGGAAGAGTGGAAGGGTGGATTAGTATGTTCGTGGACGATATGAAGGTGGGTCGAGTTGTAGATAGTGCGGAGGGCTGTTCTAGGTTACAAAGGGACATTGATAGGATGCAGAGCTGGGCTGAGAAGTGGCAGATGGAGTTTAACCCTGAAAAGTGTGAGGTGATTCATTTTGGGAAGGACAAATTTGAAAGCGGAATACAGGGTTAACGGAAAGATTCTTGGCAGCGTGGAGGAGCAGAGGGATCTTGAGATTCATGTCCACAGTTCCCTGAAAGCTGCCACCCAGGTGGATAGAGTTGTTAAGAAGGCGTATGGTGTGTTAGCTTTCATTAATAGAGGGATTGAGTTCAAGAGCCGTGAAGTTATGCTCCAGCTATACAAAAGCCTGGTTTGGCCACATCTGGAGTATTGTGTCCAGTTCTGGTCACCTCATTACAGGAAAGATGTGGAAGCATTGGAAAAGATGCAGAGGAGATTTACCAGGATGTTGCCTGGAATGGAGGGAAGGTCTTACGAGGAAAGGTTGAGAGACCTAGGGTTTTTCTCTTTAAAACGACAAAGGATGAGAGGTGACTTGATAGAGGTGTACAAAATGATCAGAGGTATAGATAGAGTAGACAGCCAGAGACTTTTTCCTAAGGTGGAGGTAGCTATTACGAGGGGGCATAGTTTTAAAGTGAGTGGTGGTAGATATAGGAGAGACGTCAGAGGTAGGTTCTTTACTCAGAGAGTGGTCGGGGCATGGAATGCATTGCCGGAGAGGGTAGTGGAGTCGGCCTCATTAGGGGCATTTAAGTGGCTATTAGGTAGGCATATGGATGATAGTATAAGGTAGGGGTGGAGGTTAGATAGACCTTAGGTTTAGGGTAAAAGTTCAGCACAACATTGTGGGCCGAAGGGCCTGTACTATGCTGTACTGTTCTATGTTCTATGTTCTATCCCGGTTACCTGAATTATTAGTCCAGTCGCTAGACCGCTATATAAAAATTTCCTCCATCTTGTCGCAAATCCTTCCAGACAATCACTAGCGCTTTAACAACGAGGTCATTCTAAATAAACAGTGCCTCTGGAGCAATGAGCAAGATGATGGAACAAGAGGGTTTCAGTTTGGAAATAGGGATATCTTATTGCGGTTGTACAGGGCCTTGGTGAGACTACACCTGGAGTATTGCTGCAGCTTTGTATTGCCACCCAAGAAAGGGTATACTTGCCGTAAAGTGAGTGTAGTAAAGATTCACTAGGCTAGCACCAGGGATGGCAGGATTGTCCTATGAGGAGAAATTTGCTCGACTGGGCCTGTATTCACTCGAGTTCAGAAGAATGAGAGGGCGTCCGATTGAATCATATAAAAGCCTAACACAGCCGTACTTCTGGATACAGGGAGGATGTTACCCCTGGTTAGAAATGTAAACCCAGGGGATACATTCCCAGGATACAGGGTAGACAAGTTAGGATTCAGATGAGGAAAAGTTTTTTCACTCAAAGGAAGCGAACCTGTGGAATTCTCTACCACAGAAGGCTATGGAGGCCAAGTCACTGAATATATTCAGGAAAGTGATAGATACTAAAGAGAGAAGATGGTAATTTTTAAATGCTAAAGGGGTATTGGCAGAAGGCAGGAATATGGCATTGAGATAGAGGATCAGCCATGATCAGATTGAACACAGAGCAGGCTCAAGGGGCTGAATGGCCTACTCTTGCTCCTAGTTTCTATCTGTCTATGACCTCAATTTCATCAAGTGGTTTCCTACACTAAAGCACTAGGCTGATTAAATTTTAACATATTAAATTACTAACAGATTAAATTACACTGGAATGAAATGGGTGCACTTTATCCAAAACGTTTAAACGTTCAACCCAGCTGAATGGGAAGGGAGATATTTGACAATGTCAGCAGTAAATGTGGTTTTCTTTTCCAGGGTGATCCTGGCAAGCCTGGTGAATCTGGGTTGAGAGGTCCCAGAGGGGAGACTGGCCTCCCCGGCCTAACAGGTGATCGAGTAAGTTGGAAACTGCCACGTTTTCCTGAATGTACACTAGTGCTGGTCAATACTTTGTTGGTGTATAATTGACTAAATGAAGAACGCTGTAGATTTTGCATTGCAACGTATGTGAGGGGCTTCAACCCTGCTCACTGTTCTTCAGTAGATACAATTTCCAGGTTGAGGCGTAGAAGTTCATTTGTATTGGCCAGCTTTTGTTCTCAGCAAGCTTCTTCTGGTAGAGATCAACTCATGCCGAACATGTCAGGGAACTTGATGAAGATGCTGATGAAACTAGGATCAGTGCTGAAATCCATCTTTGACTTACATAAAGCAATACAAATCCAACCCAGTTAATTACTGCTCATCAGTCTACTCTCAGACAACAGTAAAGTGATGGAACAGCTCTGCCAAACAGCACCTGCTCAGCAATAACCTGCTCATTGATGCCCAGTTTGGGTTCTGCCAGGGCCACTCAGCTCCTGATCTCATTACAGGCTTGGTTCAAACATGGACAAAAGGGCTGAATTCCAGAGGGGTGGAGAGAGGGACAGCCCTTGACATGAAGGCTGCATTTGACTCAGTGAGGCATCAAGGAGCCCGAGCAAAACCGGAGTCAACTGGAATCCGAGGGGAAACCTCTCTGCTGGAGTTGTACCTTGCACAGTGGATGACACTGTCTAGGACAAAGCAGTCTGGTTGATTGCACTATCCCCTGATTCCCACAAACATTCACCCCCTCCACCACCAACACTCAGTGCCAGCTGTGTGTACCCTTTACAAGATGCTCTCCAGAAATTCACCAAGGCTCTTTTGACAGCACCTCACCCTCTACCACTTCCAAGGACAAGGGCAGCAGGCACATGGAAACACTTGCAAGTTCCCTTCCAAGCCACTCACCATCCTGACATGGAAATGCATTGCTTTTTCCTTCGATGCCGCTGGATCAAAATCCTCCTTAACAGTATTATGTATGTACCTACAGCAAATGGTCTACAGCAGTTCAAGAAGGCATTTCACTGTCACCTTTCCAAGGGCAATTAGAGATGGGCAAGAAAAACTGGCCTGGCCAGTGATGTCCATATCACAGGAAAAAAATGTGGAATGACCATTCCCATGTTTCCTTGAGGAGATTTCTAGAGACCTGCCAACTATTGTAAAACTGCTGAAGCTGAGTTGGGAGCTGAAAGAAAACAGCTCAATTCTTATGTATAAAATGTGCCTTCTCTCCTCAAGGTTTCTTAATGGACATGTATCACAAAAGGAAATGTACCATACAATGCAACTCTGCATTCATTTTTCCTTTCTTTTATCTTGGCAGGGTTTGGAAGGTCAAAGAGGTCCCCCAGGCCCACAGGTACGTTCCTTGCTGTGTGCTTCTATGCTGCGCATTGCATTCACTCCTACCTGTGGTTCTACAGTAGAGGAAGCACCCTATCTCTAACCCTATCATAAAGCAGAAGATTCTTAGACAGCAACGTTAATGTTTAAAATACTGGCAGTATCAGCACTTTGTGGGCAATTATTAAATTCATTTTGACGTGTGCATGAGGAAGCATTTAATAATTTTTTTCCACTGGCCCAGCCCTAAATCAGCTCTGATGTCATTGGCCATGACTGATGTGGATTAGAAGACATGGAAGCAGAAGGTCATTCAGGCCATTGAGTCTGGTCTACCGTTCAGTGAGATCATGACTGATCTGATAATCCTCAACTCCACTTTCCTGCCTTTTTCTCACAACTCTTTGCCTGCCTTTTTGCTTAAAAATGTGTCGATCTCAGCGGAGGAACCATTTCCCAGACAGCTCCACTGACAACTCGCATTTGGCGTCTTTCAGTCCTGATCGATTTTTCTACCCGCTCTGCCACGCTTTCTGACAACAGAGATCTCGGAACAATCTTTGTAAAATGCCATGCCGCGTTTCGCATTGGCTACACCAATTTTAATTCATATTTAATTCAATGGTTGTGAAGTATTTGAAGGTGCCGTATCAAAGACACTGTGTAAATGCAAGTCTTTCCTTTCCTTGTTGTACCCACATGGCTAAAATTCTTGAAAGAAGTGCAGATAAAATGGAACAAAGAGTGATCACCTGTTGTTGAGCTGTAGTAGCTCAGTGGCTAGCTCTCATACCTCTGTAGTGGATGGACCAGGATTTGCAGCTATGAAAGAATGTAGACTCAGATGTGGACAAGCTAGACAGTATTAGTCCTGGTTCCAGTTCTAGCCTAGCAGGACATCTACTTATAATTCCACAAAATAATGGTTGACATGAGAGTGATGAACCAGAATTACGGTGACTGATGTAACATGGGGATAAAGGAAAGGGCAACACTGTTGTTTTTTGGTAAAGAAGAATGATTTTGATTAAAATGAGACAGGTACGCATATGAGGAGAAAAAATTGAAAACCCCAGAGCTCGGGAGAAAAAGGTTTGTGCCTTGAAGATTCAGTTACTATCACGATGTTGTGTAAGCACTGTTTAATCCTTTTGTTTCCCTTCTTTCCTATAGGGAGATCAAGGTCCAAGAGGATTCCCAGGGGAAAAGGTAAAATGTTATCTAAACAGAACTATCACAGTTGAGCAACAGAGCTGTGTGTAAATTGTTGATTTGAAGGTGGTTTGCTGGGCAATGAACTTCAGGGACTGGGAAACCTGCCAGTGGTCACCTGGAATTTAATACCCAGTTGTGAAAAGTCATCATCTCCGGCCGTGAGCGAAACCTGCTTGCTGAATGTTTCAGGCTTTCCTCCTTCGCCTCTGAAAACTTGGAGAGGGAATCCAGCTACCCCCCACCCTCAATGGGAGAAAAAGGCCACCTCTCAGCCAGCTGCAAGTCACAGATTACCTTTTGGATCATCATGGTTGCTGTCCTGGTGGTCCGAGCAAACAGAAAGGTCAATATTGGAAGAGGAGGAGACCATTTGGCCCCTTGAACCGATGCTGGTATTCAGTGGGATGTAACTCACCAGTGCCCTCTATCCCCTTTGGAAAAACAAAATCCTATTGACCTCAGAGTTAAGATTAAAAATTGGTTTAATGTCTATTAATGAAGAGCAACCCAAACCTTAGCATGATAAAGTACAGGAAGTGCCTTCCTCTAAATGTTAAACTCTGTGTCCCAGCCCAGCAGTGATGTGCAGGTGCCAGTGTTGGACTGGGATGGACAAAGTCAGAATTCACACAACACCAGGGTTGTAGTCCAACAGGGGCTTATTTGGAATCACACAAGCTTTTGGAGTGAAGCCCCTTCGTCAGGTGCAGTGAGAAAGCAGGGAACACAGATACAGAGTTTATAGGCAGAGCCTATAACACAAGCTTGTGTGATTCCAAATACACCTGTTGGACTATAGCCTGGTATTGTGTCACTTCTGACTTTGTCCAGCCCAGCAGAACCTTGCGTGAGATTAACTGTCTCCTGGAGTTGCAGGTGGACAGGATAGTGAAGAAGGTGTTTGGTATGCTTGTCTCTAGTGATCAGTGCATTGAGTATAAGAATTGGGGTGTCAAGCCACGGTGGTACGGGACATTGGTTAGGCCACTTTTTGGAATACTGCATTCATTTCTGGTCTCCCTGCTATAGGAAAGTTGTCGTGAAACTTGAAAGAGTTCAGAAAAGATTTATGAGGATTTTGCAGGGGTTAGAGGGTTTGAGCTATGGGGGGAGGCTGAATAAGCTGGGGCTATTTTCCCTGGAGTGTTGGAGGCTGAGGGGTGACCTTATAGAGGTTTATAAAGTCATGAGGGGCATGGATAGCCAAGGTCTTTTTCCCAGGGTGGGGTAGTCCAACACTAGAGGGCATAGGTTTAAGGCGAGATGGGAAAGATTTAAAAGAGACCTAAGGGGCAACTTTTTCACGTTCAAGGTGGTACATGTATGGAACGAGCTGCCAGAGAAAGTGGTGGAGGCTGGTACAACTACAGCATTTAAAAGGCATCTGGATAGGTATATGAATAGGAAGGGTTCAGAGGGATATGAGCGAGATGCTGGGACTAGATTAGTTTAGGATATCTGGTCAGAATTGACGAGTTGGATCGAAGGGTCTGTTTATGTGCTGTACAACTCTGTGACTCTGTTATTCTAAATGAAAGCACCAAGGTGCATAGTGTGGGGAGGAACAGTGTGAATGGAGTGTGAGATACAAAGAGGGCAAGTTAAGAGGTAGTTTTAGGGTTGAGTAGAGAGGGAAGTTTACTCTTTATTTGAACTGCACTGTGCAGAAACCTGGTATCTCTTGAAGCTGACTCGGGAGATTTTTTAATTCCTAATGCATGAATCACTCATTTTGATAACAGCATGGTAAAACAGACAAAGTAAAGGTGGACCACTTTTCATTAGCAATGTGAATAATAAGGATTGGACATGCAGATTTTCCGATATTTGAAGGCAGTCTGGTTCTTTGTCAAGTGTTTATCAACTTCCGATTTCTGTTTAACAGCTCCCAGTTCTCCATACGAAGACTGAATCTGCGCAAAGGACAAAAAAAAGCACTAACTCTATAACACCGTACAAGAAAGAATTGAAACAATTTTATTATAATATCAGAAATAAAATTCTACCCTCATACCCTTGGCAACAACCTTCCAGATAAGACCATAAGGAAAGTGAACAGAAGTAGGCTGTTCGACCCCTTGAGCCTGCTCTCCCCTTTGATAGGATCATGGCTGATCTGACCTTCCTCATGTACACTTGCCTGCTTGTTTACCTTGCTTTTCCCAACTGATCAAAAACCTGTCTTTCCACCTATCTTTTGGACATCTGCAAATTTGGCTACAGTACATTCACTTCCTTCCTCTAAGTCATTACTATTATATTGTAAACAGTTGCAGTCCCAACACCAATCCCTATGAAACACCCCTGGTCACTGGGTGGCCAACCTGATAAAGAACCCCGTATCCCCTCTCACTGTCTCCTGCCCATGATCCAATTCTCTATCCATGCAAATACATTACCTCCAACACTTTGGGCTCTTCTGAGACAACCTTTTGTAAGATTCCTTCTCAGACACCTTCTGGAAGTCCAAATAAAACACATCTACAGGTTCCCCTCTATCCACTCGGGTTGAGACTACCTCAAAAAATTCTAATAAATTAGTCAGACACCATTTCCCTTTCATGAAGCCATCTGCTGGATTTGATTCTGATTTTCCAAACGTTAGAGTCATAGAATTCTACAGCACGGAGACCCCCCTTTGGGCCAAACAGGTCCATGCAAACCAACATGTCCATCCACGCTAAGCTATTTCCCTACACTTGGCCCATATCCTTCTAAACCTTTTCTATCCATATATTAGTCCAAATGCCAAATGTTTTGCTATTGCTTCCTTAATAATTGAGTCCAATACCTTTCCAACAGAAAGTTGCAGTGAAGGGGCACCCTGTCTCTAGTTAAAAGTTCCTTGCTCATGTACCTTGACAGAAATTGGTTTCTGGAGCTTTCTTCTTACTGAACATTTCCAGATCGGATACATGAGTTTTTTCATCCTCTTACCTTCCAAAATGTTTCTACTTCTAGGGTTTGCATCTAAACCTCTCAGGACTTTATCCCCAGACTGTTAATCTAAGAGCTCATTTTAGCTTGACCTTCTGAATTGGTCTTCCTGTGATAGTCGATGCCTGCTGCTAGGTTTTGTTTTTCTATTCTTATTTCTAATGCATTGAACTGTTCACCTCAAGCTGTATTTCAAGCCTGTAAACTGTGATTAATAATGCACATGTCAACAAACTTTAAATATCCCAGCACCACTCACAAAACAATTGCAAAATGAAACCAAAACTATGTCCTTCCCGTTTTCATGCACCGTATAAAAGTGCAAGTTAAACTTAAAGTTATACATGTTTCTGTCCACTTTAAAACCCAAGTTTCCAAATAGTAAAAATAAATTATGAACCTTCATTACAATTCTCATTTCTGCTTCAGAAGTTGAGTTCATAATCTAGGTTAGTACTCTGAGGCAGCACGATAGAATGCATCACTGCCTGAGCCAAGTTCCTTTAGTTGAAACCTTATACTATTTCTATATCTCTTCTGGTGGATCAGATAATTTCAAAAACATCTAATGATAGTATTCGAAAAAAGCTGGGAATTCTCCTGGTTTCATTCTTCTCTTGAATAATGTCATGAACTATAATTTAATACATGATTCTTCAGTCCCATTTGTGGGATCTTACTGCCCCTGAATAGCTGCAGCATTTGCTGATAGAACAACAGTCACAGCATTCCAAAAAAAATCGTGCACTCAGTTTGACTTCATGAGCTAATTGCATTGTTATTTTCATTATATTGAAACTAAGGGACACTTTAGTCTCCTGTTCAGCTCTAAGCTGAATTTCATGTTCTGCCTCTACTTGGGATGACATGGGGTTCTTTAGCCTATTATCCATTACATCCCTGAGTCCTCATTCTAATGCTACTGAATGTTTTATTAACACATTCATTATCTCAATGTCATTGATGCAAATATTCACATGCTGATGCACCGAATAGTACTGGAACTGTAGCCTGGACTTTGTTCCCAACAATGTTAGAATAAATTGTGGCATTTGATGGTGTACAAATCCTCAGATTTTTATTTTGTGAGCTTGTTGGTGTAGATTTCATAGAGTCATACAGTGTGGAAACAGACCTTTCGATCCAACTAGTCCACACTGTCCATGTTTCCAACTAAACTAGTCCCACCTGCCTGCGTATGTTCCATTTCCCTCCAAACCTTTCCTATTCATTTACTTATCCAAATGTCTTTTAAACGTTGTAACTGTATCTGCATCCACCACTTCCTCTGGCAGTCCATTCCACAACTAACCACTCTCTGTGTAAAAAAGTTGCCCCTCATGTCCTTTTTAACTCGTTCTCCTCTCACCTTAAAAATATCACCCCCAGTTTTGAACTCCCCCACCTCAGGGATAAAGACCTTGGCTAATCACCTTATCTACGCCCCTCATGATTTTATAAACCTCTATAAGGTCCCCCCTCAACCAACTACACTCCAGTGAAAACAGTCCCAGCTTATCCAGACTGTCTTTTATAACTCAAACCTTCCAGTCCTGGCAACATCCTGGTAAATCTTTTCCAAACCCTCTCCAATTTAATGATATCCTTTCTACAACGGGGCAATCAGAATTGGACGCAGTACTCCAGAAGAAGCCTCAACAATATACTGTACAACCTCAACATGACATCCCAACTCCTATATTCAAAGATCTGAGCAATGAAGGCAAGCATGCTAAATGCTTCCTTAACCACCCTATCGCCTGCTCCAGTGTAACCCCCTTTTCACGGTGTTTATGGACAGTGGAAGACATAGTGACACTCGTCAATCAATCAGATGGAAATATCCTCACAGGCTAAAGCAGACTGCAAGCCAGGAATTTTAAAAAATAACATAAAATTCTATCTTAAATCATGTGTAGCAAGCAAGATTTAAAAAAAAAACGTGAGATACAAATGGGAGAGAGTTTAAGAAACAGGACAAGTGGAAGTAAACTTTTGCAACATCATTTTCTCTAGAGGGAATGAGGTCTCCCCATTTGTCATTTTACTTTCCAAGCCAGAGAGGTTGCTCAGAATTATCACTCATTGTGCCATTAAGATCTCATTCAGTGCCAAACATACTGGGTATAATGTTTGCAACCTTTTTTTGACGTGGAACTAATAAGTATTCTTAAGTTCAGGCCATTGCACAATCTCAGGGCTGAGTCTGTTGGGCTGGAATGCAACAGCAGGATTTTTCGGAGCTGTGACATCCTCATTTCTATTACCGCAGCAAAATCTGAGCCTAGGTCACAGACTAATATCTATGTTCCATCACCATTTATATCGTTAATTAGACATGATCTGCTGAGATGGTTGTCCTGATCTTAAAAATAAACTTTGAAGTGGAAATAATCTGAAGATGATGAACAAGCCGATCAGGAAGACACACTCTGATGTCCTTCATTCCACCGGATTCTGTGTCCGTCTCTGATCCAGATTCCCAGTGGGATGAAGTGCATGGGATGTGTCCATATACAACGGAGGCATGTTCTGAGCCAGCCTTCCTTGAAAGTAGGTAAGTTCTGTGCCACCTGTACAGGTGAACTTGCTGCTTTTAGTCCAAAGGTGCAGATAGAGAACTTAACAATTGCAAAACAGCAGAGTAGAACATAAGGCTATCCATGACTCAAATCCTTATCACATGCCATCTTCGACAGGAATGGTTCTGCATGTACCATTCATTCGCAATCTGCCTGCTTTGAGATGTTGACTGGGTTAGATTATAGACTCTCCCTCTCTCTCTCTTTCCCTCTCTCTCCCTCTCTCTTTCTCTCTCTCTCCCTCTCTCTTTCTCTCTCTCTGTCTCTCTCTCTCTGTTTCTCTTTCTCTCGCTCTTGCCCTTGCTTTCGGTCACCCTTTTATTTTCTGATCAAAAGAATAGCATGGGAAGGTGAAAGGATGCTCACCATTCCTGAAGGTTTTTATGCTTCAGGCAGGTGGGACTAGTTTAATCTGGGATTATGTTCATCATGGACTGGTTGGACCGAAGGGTCTGTTTCCACGCTGTATAACTCTATGAACTAATTGATGATGATTAATTGCTGTAATTAGTCAGTAACACCATCCTCAGTCAGATGGAAACACAGAACTTTAATTTTGCTGAAAAGTGAGGCACGTTGCTAAAGCTTTCTGTGTTGCTTTCATCAGGACAAATGCAAGAAGGCCAAATTTCAACCAATCAGAACAATTTATATTACAGGAGCAAGATTTGCACCTGTTTTTGGATTCTCCATGGCAATGCTTTGGCCAATCAGAATTGATTTGCCAACCAATCAGCACCTTTTTCTCCGGTAGTAGGTGGCATGGTGGCTCAGTGGTTAGCACTGCCGCCTCACTGCGCCAGCGTCCTGGGTTCGATTCCACCCTCAGGCGACTGTCTGTGTGGAGTTTGCACATTCTCCTCATGTCTGTGTGGGTTTCCTCCGGGTGCTCCGGTTTCCTCCCACAGTCCAAAAATGTGCAGGTTAGGTGGATTGGCCATTCTAAATTGCCCATAGTGTTCAGGGATGTGTAGGTTAGGTGGATTACAGGGGGATGGGTCTGGGTGGGATGCTTTGAGGGTTGGTGTGGACTTGTTGGGCCGAAGGGCCTGTTTCTACACTGTAGGGATTCTATATTCTATACAAGTTGCTGTGACTGGTTAAAATTTGGCATTCTTGCATTTGTCCTGAAGAGGGCAGGATGAAATCCTTTGTCGAAATGTCTGTCTTTTCAACAACTACCAGGAGATGAACTAGATTAACACTCCTAGGTTATCTTAGCTCCTAGCCACAAATGGAATGGGTTCCTTATCCTGTGTTTTATCATTGCCTCTACTTGGCAGTCACCATGCTGCCATTTGAAGAAAAGTAATCCATGCTTAGAGAATCGCAGTTTACCTGCAAGTGGCCGTACAACAAAGACAGTGGTTGGAATCGGAGAGCTAAAGTTGCCAAGTGGGATTTCAAAGTGAATAGAAATGCTTTCACATTTGAATGGTCATATGAATGCCGCCACAACAGAAGTTTGTCCTGTCTTCCCTGGAAATTTAGGATCAGTTTGGGGTTACATGATACTGATTAGGAGCAGTGCCTCAAACCCATTCACTCTCTCCTCAGCTGTTCTACCAACTCTGACCCAAATGGGCAGAGGTTATTACTGGCATGAAGACTCTATTACTGACTTATCATGGGACAGCAATTGGACTTAGCTTCTGCTCTGCAGGGATAATACTAGATGGATTAGTGGTAGGTGTCTTTTCCCTAGGACGGGAGATTTCAAGACTCAGGGACGTATTTTTATGGTGAGAGGAGCGAGATTTAAAAGAGACATAAGGGGCAAATTTTTTGCACAGAGGGTGGTTCGCATGTGGAATGAACTTCCTGAGGAAGTGGTGGATGTGGGCAATTTATAATGTTTAAAAAACATTTAGATAAGTACATGAATAGAAAAGGTTTGGAGGGATGTGGGCTAAGTGCGGACAGCTGGGCCTAGCTTAGTTTGGGATAATGTTCGGCATGGACTGTTTGGACTGAAGGGTCTGTTTCTGTGTTGTATGACTCTGACATTGATCAGGAAAATGTGCCCAAGCCTAATTCCCTGACACCCCCACACCACCATTCCCCAGTGACATAAAATACTCAATTTTTACTCGTCGCCATGATACTTTTCTCAATCTTTTTTTTTCAGTCTTGCCTGTTATTTTCTTTCTAAAGTATGTATAAAAGAGCAGAAAGTGAACCCCCTGTTTCTGCTTCCTGGACACAGGGTGACCGAGGACCACCAGGGCTGGATGGCAGAAGTGGGCAAGATGGGAAGAGTGGTCCACCTGGGCTATCTGGATTGAGGGTGAGTATTAGGCCCAGCAGCCACCCCATGACTGGACCAAAAGAATGTGCTGCTCGGTTGGAGGTGATCCACACATTGGTGCAGCCCCAGTAGGCACTAAGTTAAATCTGCCATATGACTTCACCAGTTTTCAAGTCTCTGTTGCACTTTTTTTTCAGGGCGAGCAAGGGAAACAAGGGGAATCTGGCAGAGACGTAAGTCAGGCACACATTGACTATCTAATGTTGAGGTCTGTCCTATGGGCCTGCTCTGCTGGTTTCTTTCAACTTTAATGCTTCAAGTCACACCAAGGCCTGGCCTCTTCTCTGTCCTCTTACAATCCTCTGGGATATGTGCGTGCCTCCAACTCTTCAAAGCCCCCTACATATCTCTTGCCTTTCAACGATGCAGGAGCTCTATAACACCTCCCTCAACCTTTGCATCTCTGGCCCTTTGAGATGCACTTTGAAACTTCCTTCTTTGAGTCAGCTTTGTGCTTACCCTGTTATCATTCTTTTCTCTTTAGCTTGACTTTGCCTGATAACCCTCCTGCGAAGTAACTTTCTGCAGATTTCCATGTTAAAGGTACTACACAAATACACATTGTTTGTAGTGAACTGCAATGTAAACAAGTGCTCAGCAATTAATTAAAATAATTTTTGAAAGTTGTTGAGATCACCATGGTTAAGCTAATGGATGGACCTAAGGAGGCTACTGAGAAATAGTAACAGGCCATTCAGCCTCTAGACCCTGCACTATCGTTCAGTAGGATCATGGCTGATCTGATATTCCTCACATCCACTTACCTGCCCTTTCCCCATAATCCTTGACTCCCCAACTGATCAGGAAGCTACCTCAGCTTTAAATATACACAAGCCCTCTGCCCCCACAGCTCTCTGTGGCAAGGAGTTCCAAAGACCCTCAACTCTCTGAGAGAAGAAATTCCTCTTCATCTCAGGCTGAAATTGGTGCCCCTTTATTCTGAGACTATACCCTCTGGTCCTAGATTCTCCCAGGAGGGGAAACATCCTCTCAGCATTTACCCTGTCAAGCCCCTTAAGAATCCAATATGTTTCAATGAGATTACCACTCGTTTCTCTAAACTTCAGTGAGTAGAGTCCCAACCTGTCTAGCCTTTGCCCTAAAGACAATCCCTCCATACCAGGGATCATCCTAGTGAATCTTCTCGGAAGTGCCTCCAATTTGAATAACTTTCCTTAAATAAATATCTCACCAGCACCTGGTACAGTTGCAGTAAGACCTCCCTACTCTTAAAATGAAACCCTTTTGAAGTAAGGGCCAACGTCCCTTTAACCCTCCTGATTACCTGCTGTACCTGTGTGCTAGCTTTCTCTGTTTAGTGCAAAATTCCCCCAAGACCTTTTGTAGCTTTCTGCAGTTTCTCACCAATTTCTTTGATCCTGTTTGCACAACTGCCTGGCTGTGATGACACATGAAACATAACAGGCATGGCTATCAGCACTGTTTGAGAGAAAGGAAAACAGATTTCAGCGGGGGGGGGCAGCTGAAGTCAGTTTTACTACAGTTGCCCTGTCGCTTTTGTTCGAGATGAAAATAATGGCAAAAACATTCCGGATATTCTTACAACGCAGGGTTTGCCCGGCCTGAGGGGAGAACAGGGACCACCAGGAGCAGCAGGCCCTCCCGGCTTGTCAGGAAGTCCAGTAAGTTACACGTTTGTGAACTCTTCTTATAAAGTTTAATCCGTGCCCCACCCTCCGTGCCCCACCCTTTCTTGCTGCACGTCTACTGTTTCCAATCAGGCAGCTGGAAACCGTCTCGAGATGAATAGGCTGGGGCTTTGCTTCCCTGGAGCATCGGAGGCTGAGGGGTGACCTTATAAGAAGTTAATAAAGTCATGAATAGGGTGAATAACCAAGGTCTTTTTCCCCAGGGTAGGGGAGTCCAAAACTAGCGGGCATAGGTTTAAGGTGAGAGGGGAAAGATATAAAAGGAACATGAGGGGCAACTTTTTCACGCAGAGGGTGGTGCCTGTGTGGAACTGCCAGACAAAGTGGTGGAGACTGGTACAATTACAACATTTAAAAGACATCTGGATGGGTATATGAATAGAAAGGGTTTAGAGGGATATGGGCCATATGCTGGCAAATGAGACTCAATTTATTTAGGACATCCAGTCGGCATGAACAAGTTGGACCGGAAGGTCTGCTTCCGTGCTGTACGGCTCTATGACGCCACAGATTGCCCTCCTGCTAAATTGAGCATCTTTCAATTGGGGATCTAATCCCCCCTCCCCCACCCCTCCACTCCAAAAGGCAGTGCGGTAACTGCAGAAGAGGGAATCTGCTCTAAGTCTTGCGGCCGGTCTTGGCAACTGGCTCCAAGACTGACACCAGCATGGGCCGGAGTGTCAGAAAATAACGCAGATCTGAGCTAGGCCTCAAAATGTCCTCGATGCCTCTGGGAGAAACAGCAACGGAGTGGGTTCCCACTGGAGATTTGCCATCACCTTATTCGTCAAAAAACATATTGCACGGCTGTTTTTGCCCCCATCCCAGTTCTGCTATACGCCAAGACACCAGAGTGTGGAGATCATCTGTTCGATGATCCACCTCCAAATTCACTCAGCTGTGTCATGAAAGATGGATTCAAATGACCAACGAAGCAGAATGTGTCAAAAGAGCTCATTAATGGTTCAAAATGAATTACTAGGGTCTGGTGTAAATGATGAAAATCACACACTGCTGTGAGTTTGCTATCTGCTGTGGTCAGTTCAGTGGAACTTTATGAATGTCTTGGATAGATTCACAATCACCAGTTCTTCTTGTTGTTATTGTACATACTATCTACAAGATGCACTGCAGAAATTTACGAAAGATCCTCAGACTGCTCCTTCCAAACCCACGAGCACTTTCATCTAGAAGGATAAGGGCAGGAGATATCTAGGAACACCACCAACTGCAAGTTCCCTTCCAAGCCACTCACCATCCTGACTTGGAAATACATCGCTATTCCTTTACTTGCTGGATCAAAATTCTGAAATTCCCTCCTCAATGGTATAGTGGGTCAACTCACAGCAGGTTAACTGCTGCGGTTCAGTAAGCAGCTCACCACCACCTTCTCAAGGGGCAACTAGGGATGGGCAATAAATGCTGGACCCACCAGCGACACCCACATCCCACGAAATGAATAAATAAACAAAAAATCTACTGACCGACACAAAGTGGAGAGACAACAAGGTGCAGGGCTGGATGAACACAGCAGGCCAAGCAGCATCATAGGAGCAGAGAGGCTGACGTTT